AAATAAACATAACTCGAAATCCATTGAAAATATAGAAATATTTTTAATTATGATGCACTTGCCATTATAATTTATATTTAAATAACACAAACAAAGATAATTTTGATTGAAATGCTAGTACATTTAATATTCCTACAATGAAGTTACTAAATTCTTTTTTTTTGTTATTAAAATAAATTGTACGGCGAACCTTATGAGTAATACTTTTACAATGTTTTTAAATAATAAAAAAATCAATATAGTAATAGTATTTTTTTTTTTTACATACACGTTATGTTAAAATATTTAAGGTTCAAAATGTTCTTACGACTACCAACSATGYAAGAAGTTATAGAATTATGTCCATTTTTTATACTATTTAAACTCAAATCATGAGATCAAAGTCATCCAATTATTTTTTTTTAACACATTTTATTAATTGGCATTATAAATATTGTACTGCCTAAGTTACATCAGAATTATTGCCAGTGAAAATGTGATAATTACTTTAAAGATACGCAGCCATATCTGAATCTATTATTCACTTCTAAAAGTAAATATTACTTACTATATTATAAGTACCTAGCTATTATATTGATTCACTTTAATCATTTTTATAATTGTCTTTAAAGTTTAAAAAGAAGTGTGCATATTAATTAGATATTGAAAAATAACATCAACGGAAARGTAGTAGACCTATTTCAGTATGACCCTTTCGGGAACAATAAGTGGGCTCTGTACATATAATACGCTATTATTACTCATTGTCATTTTCTATGCTTATATTACTCTTGAGGTCATAATAATAATATTACAAACCTCCGTTACATTGTATATAGTAAAAATATACAMGAGTTAAAATTTCAATGTACACTCAAGTACATATAGAAGACCAATCTCGCCCTAATCCTARCCAATAAAAAAAAATTCATTGTGACATTTTTTCTTAAATAATATAATAATTATATCAGTACAGAGTGATCATAATCATCGATTCCTTGTTTTCATTATTTATGTTATTCTTATATA